CCAGCAACAGGACTGAGACTTCGGCGAGGGGGTGGAAGTGATGGATAAGTCTTCGCCTTACCCTTTGCACTCATATTGGACTGCAGGAACCCCTTCTTTGACTTCCAGCTGGTCAAATTTCTCCTTTAGGTGCTCGACTGAAGGAATGTGAACTTCAGTCCGGTATTTCCAGTCAGCGGAGTTGTCCCATCCAGTCGATCCCTTCCCTTTCTTCTGCACTGCAGAAGATGGACCCTGGAGTGGAATTAACAACAGCTCCTCTTCAGCAGGCTTAGGGGTACTTCTACGCTGAGGGATCAGTTCCGATTGATAGAGGTCTGCCAGGATGGTGGTCCCCTCTTGAGGCATCAACTTCTCTGGCTGGATTATCTGCTGTTTGGCCGGGCCCCCGTCATCGGACCCTCTTCAGTGACCGGAGCAGCCACTTGCACTCTGATGGCCGAATCTCCGCTGCGACCTGCAGCAGATTCCTCTTTTTTCTCCATAGCGACATCTTCACTGAGTCTTCGCTGTCCTCCCAAAGTGGTAGGTAGGCAGCCGGGGCTCAGCACCCCAAGAAAGAGAGCATTTTGAATGAGATTTGGTTTAATGTCAAGGTTCCGATAGATAAGACCAAACAAATCAGAACTCTGAGGCTTGAAATTTCCTTAAAAAAGAACATGTTTATTGGTTACATAGTATCGGCATGGTCAAAAGTGAAACCAAGCCTGAAATCCCCTTCAAAGAGAGACAACATTACAAAGTTGAACTTCCCACACCAATGCTATGCAATCAGCTATGTTCCCCAATAGAACAGTTTGGTGGGCTTTCTAACCAAATGCTCACGCCCATCTAACTGACAAAAATGACCTTGGTTCCCACGGGACAGTAAAATGTTTAGACTAGTAGAAATCCTCCGCACCCCATCCCATTCTTGTGGCAACCTAGAATGAGCAAAATGGCTGCAGCCAGGTTCGTTGCGGAGTTGACATTCATCTTGATTTGAACATTCATTTTTACTGTCCTGATATGTCCTAACCAATGAAGTTTTAGGTTTCTCTACCTATCAAGCTGTTGTTTTATTTTTTCCATGATTTATCATGGTTGTTCTGAAATACGTTTTTGTTGCACCCTGTCAAATAGAGTCCCAAATATTTCATTTTTTTCCTTATCTCACAATCATATGCTTTTGTCTCTCTTTTGGAGCTCACAGAGCTCTGTAGTTGAATAATAGTTAATACTACATTGTCTGCATAACATTTCATCTTGTATTCTTCTCCAGGAATTTTGATCCAAAATATTTGTCTTTCTGAATCTGCGAAAACTTCTAAAGCAAATAATAATGGAGAAAGTAGGCACCTTTGTCTCGTAGCTTTATTTATTGGAAAATATGTGTTCCATTTGCTACAATCTCTTTGCCATCAATACAACCAAATTTTAAATTCTAGTAAATTCCTGTTGTTTAAAAATGCTTGTAAGGGCACTCCAAAGTTATCAAAAGCTTCTTCTGCATCTAGGAATATTACTGCTGCCTTCTTGTTTTTACTTACTCTATGATTTCTGTTCTCTTGTACAAAAATTTATTCCCATACTTTCTGATTTGTTGCAAACCTTATAAGAATATCCTTCATGTAAGCTGCATGTCTCTCTTTTTTGCATGTGAGTAATATGCTTTCTAAGAGTAACAGCCTGTCATACATCCTCCTCCATTTAAAAGGATTGTGATCCATGTATGAGAATCTCTACTTCCTTGAGATAGGGTAAGAACTTTAGAGACCTAGCACATGTCAATTATTGAAAATTTCAGAAGAAGTTTGCCATTGGTCCCTTCCGAGGGCTGAGAAACAGTGACTGGCCCAAGGTCACCCAACTGTCTTTGTGCCTAAAGCTGGACTAGAACTCACTATACCAAACTGGCTGTCTTATTCTTTGAATTAGTCTCCAATAAAATAAAACTCCACAGCTAATGTAAAAGATCTGATTCTGATTGGGATCATGGAGCCCAAAAATAAAAGTCCTATAAATTGGAGAATGAACCCAAATAGACTCCTATCTACAATTTTTTTTTGAGTTGATGAGGAAGCAGATATGCACTTTTCCCATAGAAAAAAACATATTAAAACTGGGGGAGGTCCTGGTGACAATTTTTCATGGACTAACACTTGCCTGCAATTCACTGATCCCTGCACCTAAAAATATTTAGGTTTTTATTTTTCAAATGTACTACCTCCTCTCTTTTAAAAGCACAGCTTCAGATTCATGCAGATTCCTAGGATTTGATATTCCATCCCCACATCCATTCAAGTATTTGCAGAAAGGGCCTGCTCCCTTCCATGCACAATACTGCATTTTATTTCAGTTTTGTACCACTGCTGCAAAGCTTTTAATTTGTCATCCAGGCCTAGCCATTATCTGCTTCTACACCAAATGGGATGTTTTTGGATAGAAAGTAACAGATGACTGCAGGGACTGTGTTTGCCGGGTAACTTGAGTAGGTATCACGCTTAGCGTGGTGGGAATCTTTATGCTTGCTGCTGCTCCTGGGACTGTAAGCAACTTTACTACTTATGTGTAAATTGTTTTCAAAATTTGAGGAAAAACAATGCTGAATATAAAAAATGGTTCTAAAATATTTTTATCAGAACCACAATTAAACTTTTGTCCTCCTTAATCCACCACCAAGAACTCTGTATCTTTCTAACCCGGGCTTATCATTTTTTAAACAACTGACATACATACTATTGAATTTTGTTATAATCTAGGCCTCAAGAATGTTGCCAAACATTATAGTGAAATTTTTATTAGTTTTAATTATATGATATTATTATTACTTTTAGTATTAGTATTGTTTAACAATATGGATATTCTATTGTTTAATAATTAGGATACTAATTTGTTTATGTTTTAATTATTATTATTATATTTATGTTAAAGGGGAGTTAAAGCGCATTATGGACTTGGTTATTTATATAGTTGGTTAATGTTAGTTAGATTATGATTATTATATTTGTAACCTTGTATTCAGCTCTGGGAAGTGGGGGAGGGAGGGGGGGTTAGGGTGGGTTGGTTTTGGGGTTTATATTGTAACTTTTATAAAACTTTTCAATAAAAAAAAAAAGAATGTTGCCAAACTGCATGATGGACAAAATAATTCTAAAGCAGTTAGAATCAATGAGAATACCTAATTAGACAAGAAAAGAGAAAAAGAGATAAAAACATTTCAGCTGCTTACAGCCTCAGGATTCAGATGTGAGGTTATAGGTTAAAAGAATACTTTTTGTTCTCATTAGTACAGGTAGTCCTCGACTTACAACCATTCATTTAGTGACCGTTTGAAGTTATGTCACTGAAAAAGGGACTTATGACTATTTTTCGCACAAACATTGCAGCATCACCATGGTCACGTGATCAAAATTCAGACACTTGGCAACTGATTCATATTTATGACAGCTGCAGTGTCCCAGGGTCATGTGATCACCTTTTACGACATTCTGACAGGCAAGGTCAATTGGGCAACCAGATTCACTTAACCGTGTTACTAACTTTACAACTGCAGTGATTCACTTAACAACTGTGGCAAGAAAGGTTCCAAAATGGGGGAAAATTCATTTAACAAATGTCTCATTTAGCAACAGAAATGTTGGACTCAATTGTGGTCGTTAAGTCGAGGACTACCTGTATATGTTTTGACAACTACCTATCTTCACTGATTTGGAAATAGAATTACTGCTAAGTCTTAAAAACACTGTAAGAATAAAAGAATGATACCATAATTCTCTCCAATCCCAACAATACAGGTAATCCTCGACTTACGACAGTAATGGAGCCTGCCCATTTTGGTTGTAAGGCGGGAGGATGTTAATTGAAACTCAAGTGACAAGAGCCCTCATCCTGGATCACCCCAATGCATATGTTAAACGAATGTAGGGGTGAATGCAGGGGTCGTTAAATGCGCATGGGGTGCCTCAAGGATGCCTGCCTTGGGCATGCCAGGGCCTCACCGACCCCAAGATACCCCCGTGCTGTGCTTCCTTTCCTTGGGGTCCCCACAGCCATCTGCAGAACTCAGTATTGTGGGCCGTTCTTACTGGGCCACATGGAGCAGCCATTTGCAAACTGACCTCAGCAAAGCAGCATTTTCCCCGCCTTCTGCCTTTCTGCATGGCTTCTTTAACTCAAAACAGGATAATGAGCCACAGTTTGTGCTTTGCAGCTTCTATATTTCCTCCTGAAAAAAAGTTTTAAAAGGAAGGAGGAGAAACAGCGTGTTGCAGTGAGACGGAGAACAGACAATGAAGGGTTAAGTGTTAAAAGGGCAATGCAGAGGGAGGGGAAAGAGCAGCTTTGCCTTCCAGGTCAGGTTTCAAACAAGGCAAAGCAGCTGCCTCTGCATCACCCTCTCACTGCAACACACTGCTGTTTCTCCTTTTAAAACTTTTTTCACAAGGAAATATAGAAACTGCAAGGCACAAACTGTGGCTCATTATCCTGTTTTGAGTTAAAGAGGCCATGCAGAAAGGCAGAAGGCGGGGAAAATGCTGCTTTGCCAAGGTCAGTTTGCAAACGGCTGCTCCACGTGGCCCAGTAAGAATAGCCTACTATACTGAGTTCTGCAGATCTTCAGAAGGTAATCAAGGGATTGTGAGGGAACAGGGGGGCAAAGCAGGCCCAGTGCCTTTGGGGACCTGGCAGGGCAAAGATGGGGGGGGGGAAATAGGTGGGCATGCTGCAGCGTCTCTACAAATTTATGAAGCCACCCAGTTATTCATAAGTGCGAATGACCTGATAACTTTTGTAAAATTCTTATCTTCGAATCATGGTCGTACATGGCTTTTAGGAGGTATGTTGTAACTTTGAACGGTCACTAAATGATCTGTCATACCTCGAGAATTACCTCTATTAGAAAAACTACCACCTAATCCCAAATGTCAAGGCATGGAGTTCATATCATAATATTGAATATTGAATACAGACACAAACTAATCCCAACTGCTCTCTTGAGACAAAGAGGAGGACCTTACCTGATATTCAGCATAATTTTTTAAACCAATACTCAGGAAAGGTTTGAAGGCATCCATGTACTTGAGAAACTCCCCTCCTAACACTGAGCAAAATGAAAGGTTAAAAACAGTTATGAGAGATCTAAAATGAAGTTGATATCTATAGCCTAGATAGGCTTGTAGCTCTCAAAACTCTAGGGATGCAAATTCCCCCATACATTTTTTCTTTTGGTAACCCTAGGACCACCGATTATGCTACAAATATTCAATAAATAGTGGTTAACATAGTTACTCCCATTCCACAACAGGAAAAAAATATGAAAAAATATATACATTTATTAACATCTCTTAATTTCTCTGCATAACTCTAGCAATAATCACCGCCCTCAACGAAATGTGCACACATGCGGCCCTGTGCATGCATGTGCAAGCAGGTTGTGTGCACCCACAGCGCACATGCTAGTGCCCATGCGCCAGCGGGCCACTGGCACCCCATGCATGTGCAAACGGGCCGCTAGCGCCCATGTGACGCTGCTGCTAGCATCCCCGCACATGCACAAATGGGGCCGCTAGCGTCCGCGTGATGCTGGAGCTAACATCCCCACGCATGCGCAACTGGGGCCGCTAGTGCCTACGCGGCAGTGCTACCATGAGTTGGGGGGACTTGACAGCTATTCACGGAGCCCAGTGGCCAAGAGGCCACGGCCTGCTACCGAGCCACGGACCATAGGTTGGGGACCCCTGTTCTAGGACACATATTTACCAATGAAAAACCAAAGTCATGAATCAAGAATAGAAAGTGACCTCCCAATGTTTTTTTTTAAGAAATCAACTACACTTTCTTATTGTAAACATTGTAAGGAAACTGAGAGCAGGGTAAATGTTCTTTGTTTCTGTATGTCAACAATTCTGCCTTTCCATATTGGACCAGACTATTCCCAGTCAATGGGATTTGATCAGATGACAAGATTAAAAAGTAAGCTTAGATCCAAAACAGATATTTTTCACACCCAGTTTCATCTCCATCCATTTATTTGGAAAGAAGTTTTCTTGTGTTTGGTGGCATCTTTCACAAGAGAACAAGAACTGCTGCAGCCAAGTACCATCTTGAAGGGAAAAAAATTCAAACTAATAAGGACCTGAATTCTCAGTGAGAAATTTAAAAGTGTCTTCTCTTTCTCTATAAATCTCTTCCTGTCTCCCTGTACTGTACTATTCTCAGAAACAAAATTCACAAATGTGTTTTTATGTCTTCTGTTGCTATGTTGTACTATTACATAACAAAATAACATAAGATATAAATTAGTTTATATCTTTTACTCTGCACAATAATCTAATGACAGCAAAGGAATTGTTTGGCAAAGCTTTCTGACAGCTATTATGTATGAAACACTTTACATGGTACAGGTAGTCCTCAACTTATGACCACAATTGAGCCCAAAATTTCTGTTGCTAAATGAGACATTTGTTTTGCCCCATTTTACAATCCTCCTTGCCACAGTTAAGTGAATCATTGTAGTTAAGTTAGCAACACGGTTGTTAAGTGAATCTGGTTTCCCCATTCACTTTGTTTGTCAGAAGGGTATAAAGGGAGATCACATGACCCCAGGACATTGCAACTGTCATAAATGTGAGTCAGTTGCCAAGCATCTGAATTTTGTTCATGTGACCACGGGGATGTCGTAATGATCGTTAAGTGTGAAAAACAGTTGTAAGTCACTTTTTTAGTGCCATTGTAACTTCAAACGGTCACTAAATGAACTGTTGTAATTTGAGGACTACCTGTATTATGAACATTTATAAGTATTACGTGTTCATAATCAAGACAGAATTCCTTTGAGCTTGTTCCATAACAGCACATCAATATCTTTTTTATTATCTGTATTGGAATCCTTACCAATTAAAATGCCCTTATAATTTTCTGATATCAACTGATCTGCCCCACCCAGGTCTTAGCCCACAAGTCTCTTCTACATTTATATTCTTATGTCCAGAACCAATATAGAAGTCCCCAAATGTATAGAATGTCCCAACTGTAGCATAACACTAGAATTTGGACAGCCTAAAGGTTTAGTAATATATTCATAGAGACTTCAATGTTAAAAAAAATCCCTTCCTGTAGGCAAAGCATTTACCTTCTACCAGAGTGCTAACAGCCATGAGGGCATCCTCTTGGACACCTCCTGATCCTGCCGTACTTTGGAACATCCTCAAAAGAGATGCCATCACCACATCTGAAATCTGCAAAGCATCCTGGTGCTGGACTTTACGAAGGACATTCTGTTTGATGAAAAGATGAAAATTTAGCTGGAAGCTTTCTTGTAATGCTACTCTCCACCCCCACCCCCACATTTCACTTCTAGTCAGCCTATATTTTTCTCTTATCTTGTGAATAGACATGAATTATGCAACTGGAAAAATCTACAAGCAAATCTTTAATGACAACTATCAATTCTTTTTAGCTTAGAAATAAGTCCTAATTTCTTTGGTATCTAGCAAAATACAATGGAAGAATGAGAGTTATTTGCTAGCTTTGGCTGAGCATCAGCTAGAATAGACTGACTTTATCTGTGCAAAAGCTCTTAAATCTCTTTGCTAAAGCAGTGAGAGATGGAACCTCTTTCTCTGACATACCAGTTCTGGGATCAGTTGAAGAGAGGTATATATCCAAGGTATTTGTCTTAAACAATAAACCACTTGTATTGCTTCATTTTTCTATGTATCACTGTTTTTCACAAATTCAAGCTTGAAACAAGGGGGCATTTGATTTGTAAAAAGTCCAGTATAAATCGGTTTCCTCCTGATTACTGCTTGTTCTTATACTATGTGCTTTTGGAACATCTTTACAATCAAGTAATAAATGCTAAGTTTTTACCTGCAATGTAGCACATAGCAAAGACTGAAGATCATTGAACTGGATTCTGTCACTTGTGCTCTGAATATGAGACTGGAGAGAAAATACTGTTTAGCATTTGAAATGTTCTTTAAAGCTTTTTATATCTATTGAAGAACTCATATGTATCCAAAATTAACTTGATTAGGAACATGAAGATCTACAGTCAGAACAAATTCTGATCTTAAGTGTTCATTTGAATGAGGATGACCATGGCCATCTTTCTAACAGATTGTGAGGTTTAAGAACTTGTGCTATGTTTAATTAGAACATAACAGTTATGACCAGACTACAGGCATATATATATATATTGGAAAGTCCCAATATAGGCAATATTTTCCTCCAGCAATAGATATTTTAATTTCAATGTCAGTCAAAGAAATTTTATAGGAATCTCAGAAAGCATGCAAAACACCCACAAAACAAAACATAAAATACACAACTCCCCAAGTTGAGCTATCCTGTTCTAGAGATCACCTATTTTGGGGGATACTATCACCAACATGCACATCTTTCAGCCATCCAAGCTAACCTCCATTTGGAGCACTTGTTGCAGCCGTTCCATGATAACTAAAGTTGTCTTCTGGACAGCAGGATAACAGTCCTTGGCACTATTTTTCACAATTTCCATCAGAGCTTCATATGCAGCACTCCTCAAGTTGTTCTGATGTCCATCAGGCCTGAAACAAAATATAAAAAGAAGTTGCAAGAGTACATTAAAACAGACACAATTAAATGCCAACCAACTCCAGAAGACTATCTACTGAAGTGGTATATCAACGGAAGGCAGGGTAAAATGTTCTGTTTGTGTTTTTTTGGGGGGTGGGGTGTTAAGGATGGAGGAAAAGTAGAAAAAAGAGTGAGAATTTTGTTACCTGCTACTAGGAATGAATAAGGGCTAGACCTTTCCATCACTCTTAGCTTATTAGCAGTGGCTAAACACCATTCCTAATATGTGACTATTTTACTGGGGCACACTCATTAACTCACTTGGATTAGATGGTATGTTGATTCTGAGGTCACATGATAGCATATTATAGGTAATTCAAGATGGCCAACTACAGAAAGATAAGGAAAGTCCTCTTCTCTGTGACATACTCTGCTACTTTAAAATTCTTTGGTATGAGAAAATTAATGGATCGAGTGCGGTGGTTCAGTGGCTTAATGATGCTGGAGATGATCTCTGCTCCAGCAGTTCAAGTCCTAGCACTGTGTGGCAGGGTGAGCTCCCTGTCACTCGCCTCAGCTTCTTTCCCCCTAACAATTCAGAAGCATGTTCTATGCGAGTAGATAAACAGGTACCACTTCGGCGGGGAGATGAGCTGGTGCTCTGTTTGAGCTGGTGCTCCGTGCAGGCAGTCAATTCCTGCCAGCTCTGAACCTTCCCATTTGCAGCACCTTTTTATGAAGCAGCTCTGGGGAAGGGAGGGGGCCTAGGATGACGCTGCAGGAAGAGCCGCTCATCTTTCTTTCTGGTACGAAGCCAGCTCGCCCTCCTGTGGTGCACCTTGGGAAGCATGCGAGCATGTCCTACAACAGAGGTGGTAAATTGGCAACCAAACTACTACTTGGCAATTGCAATGTGGTCTCCTGGCTAATGTAACAATAATAATAATAATAATAATAATAATAATAATAATAATAATAATAATAATAATAATAATAATAATAATAATAATAATAATAATAATAATAATAATAATAATAATAATAATAATAATGGGATCAAACACCTAAGGGGATCAAACACCATCCCCTCCTCTATGCCACGGACTCCCTTTTGGACTATGTACACGAAGACGGCCCTGCTGGCCCTGCGCGACTCACCCCTCGCGCAGGCCTGGCCCAGGAACATCTCGGGGGCCCACCTCGAGGACGGGGTATGGAACCCCGAGAGGTGGCATGCGGCAGTTACGGACAAAAAAACTTC